TCAGACTCTGGGGATTCATTAAGGACATAAATAGGATGAAAACGGCAAGGCCTTGCCTTGTGCTGTTTTATCAGGGGCTCCTCAGACTCTGGGGAGGGGAAAGACCCACACTAATAAAGGCACAGTGAGGCCTTGGTGGGGGACAGGTATGTGCCATAGGTGTCCTTGATACAGAGGGTCCAAGGCTGCCCCCTACTCCACAGCAGGGTTGGGGTGCGCACTTACACTCCACACAGCTCTCCTGGTCATCCTCCCCTGCAGATACCCAGGGGCTGGGAAACTGCCCAAAGCAAAAGCCATTATTCCCAAAGCTATGTGACAATTAGCCTACTGTGATTAGGTGAAGCAGAGGCTATAATTAGAGATCCCTCCAACTCAAAGCAAGAGAGAAAGTCTGGAGGCAGGGAGTGAAGCAGGACCCCCCACAAAGCTTTGTGGGATGGCAGGGCTTCCTAAGCCCTCTTTTGAGGTGCCCACCCTTTTGTTATACCGAGTCTCAGCCAGCAACAATAGGCGGACAGCCAAGAAGGGCTTGGCCCACACTACAGGCTGAATGGAGAACATTAAAATGTTCTAATGGGAAAAGCCCCACCCCCTACCCCAAGATCTGTGAGGTCAAGTCAGGGCCTCTTAAATGCCTTCCCCTTCAGAACCCAAACCACATAGCCTCCTGCTAAAGACTGAATACCGCTGCTAGAAGATGTTTTCTAGGTCTTTAAGGCCACAAAAAATCCCCCAGCCCTGAACTCCTGAGGGCCTCTTAGGAGAATAGAGAGAATGCTAGTCTCTGAAGTAAAAATTATCATAGTATATTCCACGTGATGAGAGGGAGCCCTGTTTTGTGAATGTTTTCACACACATGCCAGGGACTGTGATACCATATTTCCCACTACAGGTTGTAAGACAGAACTCAAAATTCCTTAGCAAATTCCTTGACTCAAAATTCCTTAGCATCTTTCTAGAGAGAAGCTAATAAGTACATATGATTTGCCAAGGTCCTCTTGTAGGACAGCAGCCGGTCAGGGCCAGGACCCAGGGGTCTTTCCTCTGGGCCTGGGCAGCCAGATAAACTATGTCACCAAACAGGGATGAGAATTAAAGCAAGGAAGCTTTTATAGGTCAAGTATCCCTTATGTGAAATGTTTGGGACCAGAAATTTTCTGGGCTTGGGATTTTTTTGGATTTTGGAATATGTGCAGAATACGTACTGGTTGAGTACTGCAAATCCAAAAATTCAATACCTAAAATGTTCTAATAAGCATTTCCTAGCTGGGCACAGTGGCTCACACCTGTAATCCTAGCACTATGGGAGGTCCAGGTGGGTGGATTGCTTGAGCTCAGGAGTTCAAGACCACCCTGAGAGGGCGGCGCCTGTAGCTCAAGGAGTGGGACACCAGCCTCATATACTGGGGGTGGCAGGTTCGAGCTGACCCTGGCCAAAACTGAAAAAAAAAAAAGACCACCCTGAGCAAGAGTAAGACCTCATCTCTACTAAAAATGAAAAAAAATGAGGCAAGAAGATCACTTCAGCCCAAGAGTTTGAGGTTGATGTGAGCTATGACGCCACGGCACTCTACCCAGAGTGACAAAGTGAGACACTATCTCAAATAATAATAATAATAATAAATATTTCCTTTGAGCACCATTTTAGAGTATTTGAAATTTGCTCAACCTGTATACCTTCTAGACTGATGCTCTCTAAAAAGCCTGGTAGGGGCCAGGCACGGTGGCTCATGCCTGTAATCCTAGCACTCTGGGAGGACCAGGCAGGTGGATTGCTTGAGCTCACGAGTTCGAGACCCTGTCTGTTGGGGGTCCCTTCGTGGATGCCACTTATCAGGGCACAGGACTGGTTGGTCTCCGGCCCTGGCTTAACTAGGTTGTGGACATGGACCTATGCTGTTATCTCCTTCAGGAACAATTGCTCTTAGGTGCCTGAAGGCTATTTACTTTAGCTGAAGGGAGGGAGAGAGAGAGAGAGAGAGAGAGAGAGACACATAGTCTTTGGGAGAGAGTAAAGCAGTCTTCTAAGAAAGATGGATCTTAGTCTTTAGCAGAGCTTAGTGATCTTCAGCAGAGAGACATGTGCAGGCGTCCTGCAGGCAGAAGTGACAGAGTCAGAGTAAGCGGTCCGTGATAGAATGCGCCTTCTCCTCCAGCCTAATATAAGGCTGATCTCGTGCCTCTCAACACCACAGGTGTAGAGATTGCCAATTCACCAATGCTTTCATCTCCCGAGCTCTCATGCTTGTTAGGAGAGCCAAATCCCTCTCCATGCCCTTTTCACCAAGGTGTTCCATTATTGAGCTATACAGGCATTTCTTATAACTCACTCCTCCTAGCCATAGGCTATATGGGCTGCTACACCCATCCCTACTAAAAATAGAAAAACCGAGGCAAGGCTCGGTGCCTATGGCTCAAGTGGCTAAGGCGCCAGCCACATACACCTAAGGTGGCAGGTTCAAATCCAGCCTGGGCCCGCCAAACAACAACAACGGCTGCAACCAAAAAATAGCCAGGCATTGTGGCGGATGCCTGTGGTCCCAGCTACTTGGGAGGCGGAGGCAGGAGACTTGCTTGAGCCCAGGAGTTGGAGGTTGCTGTGAGCTGTAATGCCACAGCACTCTACCCAGGGGGACAGCTTGAGGCTCTGTCTCAAAAAAAAAATAAGAAAAGAAAAGAAAAACGGAGGCAAGAGGATTGCTTGAGTCTCAGTTGAAGGTTGCTGTGAGCTATGAGGCCATGGCACTCTACCTAGGGCAAAAGCTTGAGACTGTAACAAAAATAAATAAATAAAATAAAATAAAATAAAAAGCCTGGTAGTTCCTAGTGTTTTGGGGTCAAGGAGATAAACAGGCCCTCACACACACTTTGGTTAGTGTGTAGGTGAAAGGAGGAGGCTGACTAGGCAGGATGTCTCAAAGTTGTGGGTCCCTAACCTTAGATCAGAAGTTCCATTTTTAGGAACTTAAGCCATGAAGATGCAACCTTCACAAAAGCAGAAAGCCACAAAAGCAAGGGGATTCATGACAACGTTCTTTTCAACAGCCCCAAACCAGAAACAACCTGAATCAAAAGCAGCAGGGCACAGGCACTCAACAGCAGCCAAGGCCACTCCAGAAGGCTGTGGCAAAGCTGGACAAACAAAACGTGGAACGAAGCGCAAGATACGCTATTTATGGGAGAGCAAGTTCCAGGACAGAATGTTTGGTACCACCCTATGCAGAAATCAGAGAGGGGTGTGTGGGCTTGAACTGCCCTGGAAATATCTGGAAGAAGTAAGAGAGATCACTCTGGGGGCTACTTGGAGGAGCCCTATTTTCCCTTTCTCTATACCTTTCTATACAGTTCCATTTGATGGGCATGGGTTTTTTTTTTTTTTTGAGACAGAGCCTCAAGCTGTCCCCCTGGGTAGAGTGCTGTTGCATCACAGCTCACAGCAACTTCCAACTCCTGGGCTCAAGCAAGTCTCTCCTGCCTCAACCTCCCAAGTAGCTGGGACTACAGGCGCCCACCACAATGCCTGGCTATTTTTTTGGTTGCAGTCATCATTGTTGTTTGGCGGGCCCAGGCTGGATTCGAACCCATTACCTTAGGTGTATGTGGCTGGTGCCTTAGCCACTTGAGCCACAGGCACCGAGTCGGCATGTTTTACTTTTGTAAAAAAAGGTGTTAGGGGGGTTTTGTGGGGTTTTCTTGACAGAGTCTCACTTTGTCGCCCTCAGTAGAGTACTGTGGCATCACAACTCACAGCAACCTCAAACTCTTGGGTTCAAGCGATTCTTTTGCTTCAGCCTCCCAAGTATCTGAGACTACAGGCGCCCACCACAATAGCCTGCCCAGCAATTTTTAGAGACGGGGGTCTTGCTCCCTCTTGCTCAGGTGGGTCTCCAACCTGTGAGCTCAGGCAATCCACCCACCTCAGACTCCCAGAGTGCTAGGATTACAGGTATGAGCCACCACGCGAGTCTATAAAAAAGTTTTAAAGCTGAGAAAAAAATAGGGGGAAAAACAAAATTAAGGGGGACAAAAGGAAACTGGTGAGAATCTCTATAGTGAGCAGGGAATGGACTGTCTCTTTGGACATGGTTCAGTATGCAGCCCCTTGCTCATACTCTAAGACAGTGATTCACAACCTTCCTGATGCCGCGCCACTTTAATACAGTTCCTCATGTTGTGGTGACCCCCAACCATTATGGGGGTGCCATTATGGTTGGGGGTGCCATTAAGGTGCCATTATGGTAGGGGGTCACCACAACATGAGGAACTGTATTAAAGGATCACAGCATTAGGAGGTTTGAGAACCACTGCTCTAAGAAGTCAGAAAACGGGCGGCACCTGTAGCTCAAAGGAGTAGGGCGCCAGCCTCATATGCTGGAGGTGGTGGGTTCAAACCCAGCCCTGGCCAAAAAAAAAAAAAAAAAGTCAGAAAACATCCTCCCCCACTGAAACCCCTCATTGCCCCAGAGGCTGGGACCAAATCCCAACCAACAAATATCACAGGTGCACTGGGCTTTGCAGGGAAAGTCTAGCGCTTCTCTAAAGGGCAGAAACAGGGGTGGGTGTGGTGGTTCACACTGTAATCTCAGCACTCTAGGAGGCCGAGGTGGGTGGATCGCCTGAGCTCACAAGTTTGAGACC